CTATGGTCTATAGCGACACACAGTCACTATAGGCCATAGCGCCACTTATTTTGACGTTTTTATTTTTTTAAATTATGAATTATATTATTTTTTTAATTATTTTATTTTACATTATCATATAAATTTTAATTACAATTTTATAAATTTATTTTTCTATTAATTTCTTTATTTAATATATTTTTTGATTTTTTTGTTTTTAAATTTAAAATATGGGGCGCTATGGGCTATAGCGACTTCATTCAAGCTGTGAGTGTCGCTATGGGCTGCAACAACTTCATCAATATGGCTTTCATGGCTTCTCTGGAGTTACAAAAATGCCACGTGTTATTGGTGTCGCTATGGCCCATAGCGACACCGTTGTAAACAGCCCCAAAGGCGTAAATACTTTCAAAAGAGCCTCATTTACGTAATAAACTTGTAAAAGGACCCCAGTTTGGTCAAAAAGTCCCGTGTATGTCATTCAACTAGTAAACTAGGGGAAAACGCACACAAACGTTTGTTTTTATTGGCACACTAATTCTTTTTCAGAAAATTCGAGCTGGAATATAAAATTATTTTTATTCAGCTTGGATTTTTTGGAAAAAAAAGAAAAAACAAGAAATTTTTAGAAATTCCTTCCATAGTGGTGAAATTCTCAATCTGTCATTTTGGTTAAAAAAACAAATTAGTACTATCTTTATTCTCTAGGAATGGCAACGGGACAGGTCGGGCATGAGTTTTATGATACTCGTTCCCGTCCCCGTGACAAACTCATCTCCGTATCCATACCCGTATTCACTGGGTATGTGATTTTCATCTCCATCCCCGTCCCCATCAGGTATTGGGTATACCCGTACCCGTAAAAAATTATTATTATTTTTTGCAAAAAAAAATATAATATTTTAAAATTATTTTTCTATTATATTATAATTATAATTAGATTATTTCTTTATCTCCTATTTTAATCAAGAGATTTCTTAATAATTATATAACTATAAATATTTCACATTATAATAAATAATTACACATAATAAAATATTAAATTTTTTTAATATAATTAAATCGGGTACGGGTAT